TTGAAAATTAGCGAGGTCTGGGGTGGGGTTAAGAATTGTGATTTAATAACCCATACATATACAACTCATTAGAAAGACTGAAAATAATGTGGAAGAGGTTACCATAAGCAGCAGGTTTCAACGTATGCATTTGGCCAATGACATGTCCAAAGTGATGTAAAACAAACTGATCTACATATTTACATGCATGAGTTTGCGTGTTTCCTGCTAGTGCTGTGCCCCATCTGTACAGCTACAGAAATGTTTTACTGTATTAGGAGAAAGTCTAATAAAGGCTGAACTGTAATAACTATAAATGCAAAAAACAAGTAGTATTGATGAAACAATGACTCTGTCAGATGAAGTCAAAATGAACAATGAGTAGGCTAAAGCGTAATGTAAATCATAGTTAATAAACAGTACTGTTTAAATTTTTAATTTATACATTAATTAATCAATTTATTTATTTATTTATTTATGTTTACATCACTGCTCATTCCAGTGTCACAAACAATAAGTATGGTAAAATTCAATAACATTGGTCTGATGTAGCCTAATGGACTAAGCATCTTTAAAACTGCATTTCCTATAACTGTAAATCTAATTAATTAATATGATCATACTATAAAAGAATATCAATGAGAGATGTGTAAACTAATTCATGTCTGAACAGTCTTTGAAGCCCTTGACGTACTACCTGCCTCATGCCTGTGTCTTACGCCCCCTAGTGAGTGTTACACCATCCTACATGCATGTGCTCATTTTTACTTGCTCCCATTCCATTCTGAAAGGAACCAACACGTTAAAACGACATTAAAATCATAGGATTTGTTTGATAAGTATATATGACTGTTTCAGCAAACTCTGCAGTTTTTATTAAGTTAAATAAGAATAACATCTTGTGCAAATTCAGACACCAATCTTACCCTTGCCAAAGACCACGGAGTGAGCCAGTGCATCCTGTTGTTATGTTGTGTCTGTAGAGTATACGCTCAAAAAATAAAATAAATACATATATAAATAAATAAATAAATACATAAGCAAGTAAGCAAGGTTTGGCTCCAAAAAAAAAAATAAGCATAACAGTTTTCATCAGTCTTTCTGAGTAACGAAAACTTCTAATGAAATGATGTTCAAACAACAAACTGAATTATAGGAACTTAATAATTTGCAACAAACACAAATTGACTGAAAAAAAAGTTATTCCAACTAATAGAGTTTTGCCACAGTGTCAATTAAAATGTCTAATTACTAGCTTTTGTGTGGTAATGTAAAAGCAAAAAGTGTTCAGACAGTACATGGTCTACCCTACAAATGAGAAAGTGGAGGTAAGTGAAATGTCTTTTATGTGTGATGAAACAAGGCTGTAACATCATAAATAAGTAAATAATAAATGGTAACACTTTACAGTAAGGTTCCAATTGTTAACTATATTGAATGCATTAACTAACATTAAAAATAAGCAATACATTTGTTACAGTATTTATTAATCTTTCTTACCAATAAAAATACAACTATTCATTTTTAGTCCATGTTAGCTCAGGTCTGTTAAAAAACATTAGTACATACAACTTTTGTCAGGGTTCTGTCACTTCGGTCTAGTTTATTCATGGTTTTGTGACAGAGCCCTGACACTCCCATCTTGTCTTGTTTTCTTGTGAGCGTGCGGCTTAGAGTGTGCTCGAGCCGTGCGCTCTCTTGTCTGTGTGCTTTGTTTCATGTTGGAGCGTGGTGTTCGGATCCCGGCACTCATGTCTTGTTCAGATTCAGTTTTTGTTTGGCGTTGTCTAACCCCACCCATCTTGTTATCTGATTATTGGTTAATTTGCCCTACCTGTGTTTCCCTTATTAACCTCCTCATTTGCTCCCTATTTATTCTCCTTGTGTTTGCAGTCCTGTGCGAGTTCGTCAGTGAATGTTGTGTGTGCCTTGTGTTTTGCCCTGCCTTGCCAGTCGGTTTCCCCTATGGGGTAGTTTCTATTTGTTTAGTTTTATTTTGTTATTAATAAAAGCCCTAATCTCATCTCTCCACCCCGACTATGACACTTTTGATTTTAATAAAGTATTAGTAAATGTTGGAATCAACATTAACTAAGATTAATAAATGCTTTAGAAGTATTTTTCATTGTTAGTTTAACGAATGTAGTTAAATAATGGAACCTTATTGTAAAGTTGTCACAATTATGTTCTGTTAGATTCACTTTCATGGACTTTTAGTTTGTATTCAACAGGTTCCTGTTTTTTTTGTTCTAGTCTTCAGCCACTCATCAGTTTCCATGGACACTTATTATTCATCACAGCTGTCTGTCATTATGTTCATCACCTTGGTGTATTTAAGTTACTGGTATTTGTTTGTGCATTGCATGCTCTTTTGTAGTGTTTGTCCGAACTTTGGATTGCTTGCTTTTGTATTTAATAAACATTGTTTTATTTGATCCTTTTTGCTATCTTCATCTTCATCTCGACAGTACATGCCAACAGTGTTACCAAATCAATTAATCAATCCACACAAAAATGAATCTGCACTCTCCCTAATAGTTGCCTGAAATCAGTTTATTTTCTTTATTTTCTGAGTGAAAAATGATTGCAAGGTAAAACAAAGCAAAAATTAATTGCAGCATGTGTAATTGGAAAGATCAGCAGTTGCATCAGAAAAGCTGTATCTGTTGCATCTGCATCTGAGTAATTGTTGCATCTAACAAGTATGATCAGGTTTTGGTCCTATAGACTCAAGATTCACAGTTACGTATACACCGAGTAAAACTTGCAGTGAAATGTAAACATAGTCAGCTACTTAGTTTGTGCATTAAATATAAATTTTAGTAGGTAAAAAATGGTAAAATTAGATTAACAAGAAATAACAACAACAACAATAATAATGTTCTACAAATGCAAAACACAGTAACTACACTCTAAAAAATGCTGGGTTGAGACCACTGGGTAAGGACGTTGGGTTGTTTTAACCCAATTTTGGGTTGAAAATTGGTCTTGATCAATAACCCAGCGTTGCTGGGTTGGGAACACGGACGTGAAAGAGAGCACGCACGTCACGTTAACATCGGAGGTATCTCGACGACACCAGCCGCCATTTTCTCAGTGTCTTCAGATGGAAGCGAGTGCAAGTGAAAGACGGTTTATGGTAAGTAAAGATTAAAAATGTAAAGTCATTATTCATTGTTTGAGTCCGGTAGTATCTTGAGATTTCAGGGAAGGCAGAAATACTCTGAAAAGAGCTTATATACGCGGACTTCGCCTAACGTCAGAGAGTATCTTATTGTCACGGGCAGGGTGTACCAGAGATCAGGCAGGACGACGAAATAAAGGATATTTAATGAGTTGAACAACAGGAAATCCAGGGTAACATTCACAGGAACATTGACAATAACCGACAAACTAGACTACAGGAGGCAGGAACTAATATAGGGCAGATAACGAGGGGCAGACAGGTGAGCACAATAAGGTGATTAACTGATAATGATGACAGGAACAACCAAATAAGGACACAAAGGGAGAAACCACAATCGACAGTCCACAGGGGTATGACACTTATGTCATATTTACATAAGATTTTTGAGGTGTTAAGATTGAGAGGGTTATTAACATATTTACATGTTAATTCATTATCTCCTTATTCGCGGTTAAATTGAATGTAGTTTCCTAAAGGAAACAGCGTTATGTAATAAAGACTATTCTAATTATTTTGAGGCTGATGAAGTGATAATTGTTAAAAGTAATGTTTTGCATGTTATATTTCAGACATTGTTGAGCTTTGTGTCTTCATTGTGCCCGCGCCGGGAGTTAACGACACAGAACCCTGCTTGTGTGAGGAGGCGATTTTCTCAGCTTCTTCAGAAGAGAGGGAAAGATGGTTAAAGATTGGTTACACTTTATTTTGATAGTACACTTTAGACATTCTACTAACTGTAAGTAACTTTGCAACTACATGTCAACTAACTCTCATTACAGCATTTGTAGACTGTTAGGTTAGGGTTAGTAGAATAAGTTGCTGTACTTGCAAAGTTACTTATAGTCAGTAGAACATCTGTTGAGCGACCATCAAAATAAAGTGTTAGTAGATATTAATACTCTAATGATTGCTAGTTGACATGTAGTTGCAAAGTTATTTATAGGTAGTTGAATGTTTAAAGTGGACTATCAAAATGAAGTGTTAACAAAGATTTTGAATGAAGAATATTCTGAAAAATTATACTTTTTAGATTCAGCTGATATTACAGATCCATCTTCTTTCTAAACAGTAGATTGTGTAGACGAGTTTACCATCTGTTTTGCCTCAAAAATATTTTTATTTTTAATGTGCCACATGGGTGACTGGCCAGTTATTTTAATAGCTACAAGCACACAGGCAATTCCAATGAGAGTGAAAGTGGACCCAGAAAAATCCTAAAACTAGAGGATTTTGAAGAGTGTGGCTAAAATGATCTGAATGTTTTACAAATGGAGATATACAAGCTGCAGAGTGAAGAATTGTGTTGACTTGTATATTTTTTTGGAGAAGAACTGACCATCTTGAAGGGAGTACAAGTCATAATGCAAAGTATGAAAAAAGTGCTTCTTGGTTTAGCAAATATTTTCATTAAATAGAAGTCAGAAAACCACAGAAAGTAGGAGATCGAAGAGGACACTATGCAGAAATAATATGCAAAACAAATAAAGCCCTATAACGTTACACAAGACTGAGTAAAAGGTGAAACACCTTATATATACAGTATATATATAACTGGAGAAGAATGTAAATGTTATTTACGCTCATTCTGTGGCAGCAGGCAGGAGAGGCTGACCTCTTCTGGAGTGATGACAGTACTGCAGAAGGATATATGATAAATCGATAAGGTTATTTTCTTCATTCCTTTTTCTCACAGGAAGTATTACATTTTCTTTATAAAAATGAACTAATACTTGATATATATATATATATATATATATATATATATATATATATATATATATATATATATATATAGCAAGTATTAGTTTTAGCATTTTAGCAAACAAAGTGTCAGCGATCCATGTTCTCATCACTTATCTCAATTCATTTGTTTGTGCTTTCAGAAAGTCAACGTTCTTCAATGTTCTGACAAAGAGTGAGGCAGCGGCTGAGAATTTTCCCTTTTGCACTATTGACCCAAATGAGAGCCGTGTGCCCATTCCAGATGAGCGCTATGACTTCCTCTCACAGTACCATAAACCAGTCAGGTACCCACTGCATGTCTGCATAATACAGTTATCAACAGCTTTTAATTCTAGTCATCAGTGATATGATCTTAATTTCTCTTTTATATTTCACTCAAGTAAGGTTCCAGCGTTTCTGAACGTGGTGGATATTGCTGGCTTGGTGAAAGGTGCTCACGCAGGCCAGGGTTTGGGTAACGCCTTCCTCTCTCACATCAGTGCCTGTGATGCCATCTTTCATATGACACGCAAGTAGATAGCTATTTCAAACCATTTCTGAATATGTTTATTTTTTTTGATTTTATGAACTTCATGTCTGCTGTACGTGAAATGTATCTGCTAGTTACAATGTAGTTGGAAAGATGAATTAAATAACTCGACAACATGGAAAAAAAAAAACCCTCATGAAATTTCCAAAAAGCCATGAAAACTTCTACAGCAAATGTAAATTGACATTGTGACAGTTATCTGGCATGCATCCTCTTTAAATCTTGGATTTAATTCACGCCTGAGAAACCTGATGTTTTGTTCCATATGTTTGTATTTCAAATAAAATAACCCTGATAATGTGTATATGCAACCATTTGTGTGTAGGAGCTTTTGAGGATGAAGATATTATCCATGTTGAGGGCTGTGTTGACCCAGTGAGGGATATTGAGATCATCCATGAAGAGCTGAGGATGAAGGATGAAGAGATGATTGGGCCAATCATTGATAAACTTGAGAAAACCGCTGTCAGGGGAGGAGACAAAAAACTCAAACCTGAATATGTGAGTGAACTATATCCCAGTATGCATCTGACCACTGCAGAATTAAAACATTCTTCCTACTCTGTACATTAACAGAAAGCACTTACATTTTTTTGTTTTCTCTGCTTGCAGGACATCATGTGTAAAATAAAGTCCTGGGTTGTTGATGAAAAGAAACATGTTCGTTATTATCTTGAATGGAACGACAAAGAGGTTGAAATCTTTTTTCTTATCATTTTTGATATCATTTCTTATCATGTTTCTTTGATCAGATTGAGGTTTTGATTATACACTGTTTTTTCTTATTATTATTATTCTCCAGATTGAGGTCTTGAATAAGTATCTGTTCTTGACGTCCAAGCCGATGATCTACTTGGTAAACCTCTCGGAAAAAGATTACATCAGGAAAAAGAATAAATGGTGAGATGACATGTTAGCTGTTCATCTGCTGTTAGTGAGTCCTTCCTCAAGTGCTTATACTTAAAGGGATAGTTCACCCAAAAATGAAAATTCTGTCATTAATTACTCACCCTCATGTCGTTCCAAACCTGTAATATCTTTGTTCATCTTCGGAACACAAATTAAGATATTTTTGATGCATTCCGAGAGCTCTCTGACCCTACCATAGGCAGCAAGGATCCTAACACAATTTCTATGCAAGAAACAAGAGTATCAGATCAAAGTGTAAACAATGTACCTGCATACATACGCTGCATACATTGTTTACATATGTGATACTAGGGCTGCACGATTAATTGAATGCGATTGTCATGCGCATTTTGTTAAAAAAGCCGGTTCTGTAATCAGCAGGAAATCATCATCACGTGATATATATATATATATATATATAGCAAGTATTAGTTTTAGCATGTAAAAGCCCTTTTAGTATAATTGTAAAAATGTCAACCTTCAGGCCGTGGTCTTTTTGCTGTGACATGTAATGATTTTCATAAAGTAAACATAAGAACAGCTTTTATATTGATATTAATCTTTACTTAATTATCCATGGTTTTTGTTTTAGAAATATCATGATAAAATATATGTATGAAATATGATGAATGTTTATTTGTACATATACCAATCATCATAGCATTGCATTATATATTTTGTCCCCCACAAGTAAAAATTGAGAGCTTTGATCATAAAACTAAGCATTTAAATATCAAGTAGTCTGTTGTATTGTTATAAAGATGTCATTGATTACAAAATCTGTATCAGAATTTTATCTTACTCTTTTTTCTATATAAATAACTACATCTGTTTTACCCCTGCTGAAGGTATTGCTTCCCCCACATGCCACTAGAGGTCTCATTCACCTGAATTCTTATTCTTTCACACCTCTGCCTCTTTGCTGATAAAAAATAAATAAAAAATGTGTTATAGGTTTTCATGACCCTTTAAGCACTAAGCAAACTCAGTGTGATGTCTTGTTTTGCCATTTTCAAACATTTCTAAGTGTTTTCTGTTGTACTCTGCCTGTTTTTCACTGCTTTCCCTTGAATTTGGATAATTTGTCTTTTGATTTTGTATGATTCAGTGACTTGAACTGATTTCCTATCCAGAAGGAGATCTGAGGTGAGTGTGAACTGTTCTGAATTGTTACACAGCTGTCAAATAAGGATTCCTGTTATTATTTTCAATGCAATCTTTAAAGTCCAATTGTCTGCGTTACTGGACTCGGGAGTTGCTGGTAATTTTGTACACTGTGACCTTGTGAAGGCTTAGAATTTACCAGTTGTTATCTGTGATTACCCTTTATGTATCACAGCATTAGACAGATGCTACTTGGGAAACCTTACACAATACATTACATTACAATTCACGTTGCATTTTTTTCTTTTTGAAGACATTCAGTTTCTGGTGATTCATTCTTCCAAGACCGCATCATCCGCTGCTTACCATGGTTTAGAGTTCTGTAATATTTTAGTTTGGGTTCATATTTAATGAATAGCTTTGGGTTTGGGTCGGGCTCTGCTTTGTAGCTAAAGTAAAACTATATGCAGTCCGCTGCTTTCATTGACACATGCACACACATCCCTTGCACACAGAGATCAGAGATCGCCCAGCACACACAGAAACATTGTGGAGCACAGAAACTTTTATTAATAAAATTGCTTTGATACAGAATCGCTACATTATATTTCTCAGCAACGATGCAGGTAATTCACAAACACAACTTTTCTCTCTCTCTCTCTCTCGATATTTAATTCAAATAAATTATATAGTAAATTCATTCAAATAAACATGATCTTACTGCACTACTTCATCTCTGTGTCTGCAGACAGAATGATAGAATGAGCCATAGCCTGACAAAGTGTGCCATGCTGTATTGACCTATATTTAAAACAAAACTTGTTTTGCTCTTGTTCCTGCTCTAGTGGTCTTTCTGTCACAATACGGCAAACAGCATGCACACATTAGCTAGCAAGTGCAAGCTAGCATAATTGTGATGTAGCAATCAGGAAAACCTCTTACAGAAAAACTATATTATGGAATAATTATGATCTTGTCATTACAACCAATAAAGAACATGGCGGAATTTGTGTGACCGTTGCACCCTTTGTTTGTAAAGCTTCATAATTGGTAAGTGCTTTTTTTCTTTTACCTTGTGTGCTGAACTGGCCGCTGTGCCTCGATGAAGCTGCTTCTTTGCATGTATTTGTTTCTGACCATTGCATGCAATTCTGAAAAACAGCATATTTTAAAAGTTTGGCTATTCGTTGTAAAAAAAACGGTTTTAGGTTCGGGCTCTAAATTTAACAGTGCCGCTCAGGTCAGGTCAAACGATCTTGGGTACGGGCCAGGTTCGGGCTTCAGTTTAAAGCTTGTGCAGACCTCTACCATAGTTATGGCTGCCCAATCCCCTTATATCATGGAGAGAGGGACAAATCTCAAGTTGGAGTCAACATTGTTCTCAGATTTGTTTGTGGTCCATCAAGGCTCAAAGTACTAACAACTTCCAAGTCAATGCACTTAATGAAGAGATCCAGGACTCTCCTCAGTTTATGCTCATCTCACAAAAGCCTTCAACAAGATCGAAGCCATGCATCTTCCAACCCATCTGCCTTGTGATTGTGTGATAGATCTCCTGCCAGGCACTACACCTCCTCACAGCCATATTTATCCATTATCTAAAGCAGAATCATAGGCCATGGAGGACTACATAAAAGAGGTGTTAGACATGGACTTCATTAGTCACTCCACGTCTCCCGCCTCTACCTGATTTTTCTGTGTGGAGAAGAAGAATGGAGGCCTACACCCATGCATTAATTATCAAGGATTAAACAAAATCACAATCAAGTTCTATAATCCTCTTCCTCTTGTACCTGCTACTCTCAAACAATCTCAATCGGGCAAGTACGTCTCTAAGTTAGATCCATGTAATGCATACAACCTCATCTGCATTTGAGAAGATGATGAATGGAACACTTTTCTATGAGTATAGAACACTATGCTTATTGGGTCATCCTCATCAGGCTAGCCAACAGACAGTTTACCAAGCCTTTGTTAATTATGTGTGCTGAGACATGTTGAACAAATGAGTCATTGTTTACATTGATGACACACTTATATACTTCCCACATTAGAAATGCACATAACTCAATTTCACTCAGTGTTCAATTCAATGTCAAATTCAACATCAACTATATCAGAATCAGAATCAGATTGAGCTTTATTGCCAGGTATGCTTACACATACGAGGAATTTGTTTTCGTGACAGAAGCTTCCACAGTGCAACAGAATGACAGTGACAGATCAAAAACAGAGATGAAAAAAAAAAATATATATATATATATATATATATATATATATATATATATATATACAAAAAAAAATATATAGAACTAGTAAATAAGGAATGCAATATACAAATTGACAATTGTATGTACAGGTATATTACAATAGATAGTTTTGTATGTGCAGGCATATTAGTGCAAAATTGAAATGTAGACTAGGTATGTGTGTTAGATAAATAAGTGTGTAAGTGTATAAATAGTGTTGTGTGATCCACAGTTATTGTCAAGTGTTCATGAGATGGATGGCCTGAGGGAAGAAACTGTTCCTGTGTCTGGTCATTCTGGTGCTCAGTGCTCTGTAGCGTCGACCAGATGGCAACAGTTTAAAGAGGGAATGTGCTGGATGTGAGGAGTCCAGAGTGATTTTGCCAGACCTTTTGCTCAATATATGCCAAGGCAGAAAAATGTGAGTTCCATTAGACCACCATTTCACTACTATCCTTAACTGGTCACAACTCTCTACGGTGAAAGAACTGCAGATATTCTGCAGAGATTCGGTTGCCAATGTCTACAGGCAATTTAAACTTCAGCTCAGTAGCATCACCACAAACCTTTCTTCTACTTGGAGCTGTAAAGAAACTGAAGTGGAATCAGACCATCAGTGAGACATTTGAAGAGTTAAAGAAACATTTCACTACTGCCATTCTCTGTCAACCTGATTCTTCACTGCCATTTATCCTGAAAGTACATGCCATTTGACTTAGCGTCCCTTAGTTCCCTTAGCGTCATGGTTATCAAGCCAAGATATTCCCTGGTGCCTCCTTTTCCCATAAGCTCTCAGCCACTGAATTAAATCATGATGTTGGTAATCAAGAACAGTTAGCCATGATGACAGCTATTGTGGCATCATTGGCTAGAATAGACAAGACATCCAGTGGGAAATAATGTAAGAGATCACTCTAGAACCTTTGCCACGGGACTTTCTGCCTAATACGACTCATCCACTAGCCCGGCATCCAAGTAAATCTGGGATCCACTCCTCTCTGTTCTAGTATTCAATCCACCATTAAACTACTCCAGAATCACTTTTGGTGGAATTGAGTTCTATTACCTTCGTCCGCAACTGTGAGACCTGTGCCACCTCTAAATCTCTGCCGGCAGACAGTCTCCACCCATTATGCTCAATGTCCTTGATTTCATATTGCATTGGATTGTGTCACTGACTTACACCATTCTCAAGCTAACACTGTAATACTGGATTGTAAATTGTGGATTGTTTCTCTAAAATTTGTTGTCTCATCCCTCTATTTACCCTTTGCCCTAGAAACAGTATAACTCCCTTTCCAACATGTATTCAGGTAAAATTATCTACCTGAGATGTCCAATTAACATTCCCACTCTGGACTGCCTTTTTTAACATTTAAATGTTAATCTCAGTCTAAGTTTCAGATATCATCCTCGGCCGAAGGGCCGAATTGGAAAGGTTTCTCTGTACATACTGCCAGCTCGATCAATCCAACTGGATCCACTACTTGCCCTGGGTAGAATATGTCCAAAACTCACCATGAAAATCATTAACCATTCTGTATTTCCAACCCACTTTATTCCCTTTGTCCAGGGAAACTTTAGACATTCCTGCTATGGATGACTGGATGCATTGTAGTGAAAGCGACTGGGACCAAGCCCATGTCCATCTCCGGAGAATTGTTCAT